TTCCTGAGAATTATCTGTCGAAACATGCAAAGTTTATATTTAAAATGCGCGAAGCAAATGCCTTCTACCCGATATTTCTGTCAAATAAATATTTTGTAGTTTTCGAATTGTAATAAAACATTAAAGATAACATATTCTCCAGAACAATTTGCAAAACCTTCACTGGGAACGTTCATAAATCTTCATTCTCACGTTCCTAGGCCAAAATGCCATTCATTTATATAAGGACATTTGATTTCTTATCAATCCTAATTTCCAGTCGATCCCAGCACTGTGTAGGTCACGCCAGCTGTTTTTCAGCACCACATTCTTCACTCTAGGGCAACCATTTCAGAGACTAGGTCCCTGTATCAGTCTGGAAATATGCTCCTGAAGGTGGTTGTTTGTAAGTACCTGTTTTCCAATTAATATTTTATCATTGCTGATCTTGATATATACTACCCATCAAAAGTTTAGACTCACTAGTGTAAATGTAGCCACTTACTTGTCCACTGTTCTAAACTAGCTTTTTGCAAAATATTCCATACTGTTTAAAGGTACTGTTTAGTTATGAACTGGTGTATTGTAAAACATATTCGTAACATTGAAAAGATTATTGTCATGAGTTCAGTAAATGATTAAAATCTGTGAAAATTGGCGAATTCTTAACAAAACTTTACACCAAAACGAATCTGTTCACATGCACGACATTTGCTCATGCCTTTCGCAATTTGAAGCATCATCCTTGTGCAATTCATCTGCATAAGGTTTTCAGTTGGTTCCCCCAAGTTGGTGGAGAAATTCATCTTCGATGTAACCACATACATATACATAACATATAGTGAGTGCTTTAAGTGAGTCTAAACTTTTGATGGGTAGTAACAGGTAAATAAGGTATCGTGTTTATTAAAGGTGCATTTTCCAAACGTATTGTACTACATATCATACTTCATAACATATGCGGGTAGCCTAATGGTTAAGCTGGACATGCCGAAGACCTGGGTTCGAATCCCCACATGGGTACAATGTGTGAAGCCCATTTCTGGTGTCCCCCGCCGTGATGTTGCTGGAATATTGCTAAAACGGCGTAAAATTATACTCACTCACTCATAACATATGTTGTGATATTCTCATGTTGGTACTGTGGCTGGACATGCTATATTTGCAGTGATGGATGCTTATATAACTGCTCTTGGTTTGGTCTCATTTTGGTGTTTTTCAGTTTCAGACACACGTCTTTTCTCGTTTTACAAAATGTGTTTTGTTGAAAGTAATTCAAATTGGACTACAATCGTGACATTTCAGAAGAAAGCCCTGACCACTGAATGGAAATACAGGAACATTATACATATTTGAAAATTTTAAATGACACATTGAATATATTTTCACAGAAATTTGAAACATATATTTTTGTAGCGCTGGTATGCCTCTTCAGCTGTGTCCGTCATGGTTTCGGTGACCTTACCAACAACACCGGTAAGGTTAAAGTGAGTGAGTGAGTGAGTAATGTTTTACGCCGCACTCAGCAATAGTCCAGCTATATGTCGGCGGTCTGTAAATAATCGAGTCTGTACAAGACAATCCAGTGATCAACAGCATGAACATCGATCGATGACATGTGTCAACCAAGTAAGTGATCCCGTTAGTTGCCTCTTACGACAAGCATGGATTACTGAAAACCAATTCTACCCCGAACTTCACGGGTGGTAAGGTTAGGTTAAAATTTTACTCTATCGTGGATCTTTATAGGCATCATGTATGAAGATACTGGTTAGGATGGTCATCAGGAGACTAACGGGATCGGGTGGTCAGGCTCGCTGACGTGGTGGCACATGTCATAGTATCCCAATTTCGTTGAACTATGCTCATGATGTCAATCACTCGACTGACTGGTTCTAGTTCCATTTTTCTGTACAGTTGGAATATTACAAAGAAAACACAACCAAAGAAATATATGGACAACTCAACAAAGTTGAGTGCCCGCTTTGTATCATACCTAACATAGAAAATGAATATCACTTTTGCCTGGAATGCCCTTTTTATGGGAAATTAAGAAATGATATCCTCCCTAAATATTATCACATATATGCATCTGAAGTGAAATTAGCTCAGTTGTTTACATCAAAGAATACTTATATTATAAATTGTTTTGCAAAATATCTATTTTTTGCCATGAAAAACGAAATAAATTTCTTTCAGTCTTCGTACCCACAAATGTATAATTGTGCAGCTCTCATGATGTTGTACGGTGCTCTAATGATTGTATATTCTGTACACCTGATGTATAATGGGCCTGTGGCCCCTTTACTGAATAAAACTCTCTCTTTCACTCAACAAAGAAGAGATATAAGTTTATCAGTATATTGGCTGTTGTACAATATGTTAACATGTCTATGCACGTGAATACACAATGCCATTTAGAAAGAGTTATATTTGGGATTACACTTTCTCAGTAAAGTAGAGATTCTAGTACTGAGTGGGTTAGATGGTTGACTTTGCGGGATGGCTATTACGTGCCTGGCTCTGAGAGTGTGGGTTCGAATCCTGGATGGGACTCAACCAACAAAAGAACTAGAATCTATACTTTACTGAGAAAGTGTAATCCCAAATATAACATATGTTACATGTCTATACATCTCATGATAACATTATTTGTTGTGGTATGGCAATCACAACGAGGTTTGTGTAACTGTACATCGACAACAAACCTAGGGGCGGTGGGTTAGCCTACTGGGTAAAGCGTTCGTTCGTCACGCTGAAGACCCGGGTTCGATTCCCCACATGGGTGCAATATGTGAAGCCCATTTGTGGTGTCCCCACCGTGATATTGCTGTATATTGCTACAGGCGGCGTAAAACTAAACTCACTCACTCACTTCAACAAGTCTAGCAGTTATCTATCATCAATACGACGCTATATAATAAACCGGCTCCTACCTTTTTAACACTAAGAACGATCGGATGTCGTGATAAACGTATGTGAATACATGTCGCACTAGTTATATATTATATACATGTCCGAAGAAAACATACATGGGCGACGTTATTGCTTATGTTTGATAATTAGAGAGACCCTTAGCGACATTGACTTAAATTTAAAACCAGTTCATTGTTGCTTTTAAGGTGATTCATCATTATGTTCATGATTACTAGGCTATGGTAATTGTATGACTGTGGTACTATTAACTTGGATGTCCATGTGATCAAGGGCTAAACCATTATTATTATAATCTCCGAAATATTTTACGAAAATAGTAAAGGACATGAATGAACGTATTTTAAAACACGGATTTCATTATGAAACTCACATGTACATTCTTACAAACAACCCAGAACGTAATTAATTGGAAATGTAAAAATTTTGTTGAAACTTGAAATTGTTTTTGCATGTTTTTACTCCATACAGCGCCAACGACTCAGGCTCACTGTTTAAAGTGTGAACGAGTTGCAAGTCCCGACGACTGTGTAACAAGTGTGTTGTGTTCACCGGGTGAGGTAAGAACAATGCAGGTTGATGCGTACAACCTGATGTCCAAATACACATCCTTAACAGATAACAGATCTCATATCAAGTATACACTAACGTATACACTCTTTATCATACATGCAGTCGTACTACCTGATTGTGTGCAAAACACATGCGCCATATTGTTTATTTTATACAATTTGTATGCTATATTAGGTACAATTATACATGTCACAAAACGCCTTGTCATTCTAAATTATACTGTATTCGTAACTTACATTGCAACTCCTCACCTCTTCCATACTTTTGCTACATTATATCTTCTCAAAGCTTTTGGTCCATACATTTGCTACATAACACCCACTTTTAGCACTTTTCCCAAAAATATTGCTACATTATATCTTCTCAAAGCTTTTGGTCCACAAATTTTCTACATATCACCCACTTTTAGAACTTTTCCAAATAATGTAGCTACATTATATCTTCTCAAAGCTTTTTGTCCACACATTTGCTACATATCACCCACTTTTAGCTCTTTTCCAAATAATTTTGCTACATTATATCTTCTCAAAACGTTTGGTCCACAAATTTGCTACATATCACCCACTTTTAGAACTTTTCCAAATAATGTAGCTACATTATATCTTTTCATAGCTTCTGCTCCAGACATTTGCTACATAACACCAACTTTTAGCACTTTTCCAAAAAATAGCTACATTATATCTTCTCATAGCTTCTGCTCCAGACATTTGCTACATAACACCCACTTTTAGCACTTTTCCAAATAATGTAGCTACATTATATCTTCTCAAAGCTTTTGGTCCATACATTTGCTACATATCACCCACTTTTAGGACTTTTCCAAATAATGTAGCTACATTATATCTTCTCAAAGCTTTTTGTCCACACATTTGCTACATATCACCCACTTTTAGCACTTCTTCCATACTTTAGCTTCATTATATCTTCTCATACCACTTCTTTCATACTTCAACAAATTATATCTCATAGTTTTTGGCCATACATTGGCTGCATGGTATCTCCTCATAGCTTTTCGTCCATACTTTAGCATCATTATGTCTCCTTTTAGCACTTCTTTCATACTTCAACTAGATTATATTTTATCATACGATACAACATTTATAGCCTTTTTATCCCAAATTATTAGCACTCTATATAATTATTATGAATACGCTGCATGCGTATTTCTCCGACCTAAAATGCGTATGGCTATTTACACCTGTACATTATTTAATCTGGAAAATTGAGGTTTTACTTTCTGATCCACTCATACTCTTCGTGCGGCTGTTTTGCCCTTTACGAAGAGTGGATTCTATTTCGGTGGATAGACGAGACTGTTTATTCTCTGGCTTTGGCGTATTATATGCATGTCTCTTTAAGCATCAAACAACATCAAACTGCTTTGACAAGTTGTCTATTTGTGGCACAGTGGTAACAGCTATGACACCGTAAAGTCATATACTTCAGGCTTATAAGTGTTTAGTCACAATGTATTCATATGATGATAGTAACGCTTGTCTTGCCTCCAGATATGCATGTCCGAGCAGTATGTCACGTCGGACGGTTTTGTGTTCTATGACCTCGGCTGTAAACTGGCGTCGGTAAGTATAAATTTAATTTCAAACCATATATGAAAGATAATTAAGGGTCATGCGGCAAGATCAAAGGTTCCTGGCACAACTAAGGGACGTAACTCTGCACAGTGAATTCTGGCACTAATAAAAGCGGGTCATACTATGACATAGTATAGTATATAACATATGTTATATTTGGGATTACACTTTCTTCGTGAAGTACAGATTCTGGTACTTTTGTTGGGTTGAGTGCCATCCGGGATTCGAACCCACACTCTAATGGCCATCACACAATGTCAGCCGCCTAACCCACTCAGCCATCGCGGCTTCCACAAAAATGGAAGCATAATATAACCAGAAAACCTGAAAGCATGAACAATGACGACACAAAATCGATCATGAATTCACAATGGAACACACATGAGAAAGATTCCTGAGATGTCTTCTCCCCCAAAATGCCAGATGGGTTCCTCCAGATTGGAACCATGACAATGAATATCATCCTCCCCGGTATGCAGAAGGAACGACTTTCTTAGCTTGCATCTTCAGATCTGTTCCACGGCCGGGTTCACGGTCAGTGCTGCGGAGATAGAACAACGACGTGCAGGTCAGTCACGGACAACTGGTCAACCCCTAATTGGGAGGAGGAGACGACAGAGCATGGCTGTCCACGCCTGTGAGGAGTGCTGTGAAGACGACTTCTGTAACAACTTCCTTTGTGGTGGCCATGGTAAGTTAACCGCAACCTTGCAAGGTTAACGCAAACCAAAATGTGAAATGTTGCTATGAGACTAAAGACAATTCCATAAGACCCTGTTCACACCTCCAGGCAATAAAACATTATTGATATTTCATACTTTCCTGTTCACAGAAACTCAACTACTGAAGTGTGCTGCCTGTGTTGACATGATGAACATGACAAACTGCGACAAAATAGCAGTGTGTCAGCCCCATGAGGTAACTTGCTTGTTAATTAGCCTAACGCAGCTAAAGAGAACAAAAGCCTAATGTTGTCACTTTTAGCCCATACTTTTTTCAGTGAAATTACTCGTTGCTTCAGTTATTTCTCGTTGCTTCGAGTATTCTCTCGTTACTTCAAGTTTCTTTAAAAAATTCAAATTTTAAGTATTTTATCGCTAATTCAAGTTTATTTAAAAAATTCAAATTTCAAGTTTTTGAAAGAAACTTGAAGTAACGAGAAAATACTTGAAATTGTAAGTTTTGAAAAGGAAACTGAGGTAACGAGAAATTAATCGAAGCAGCGAGAAAATACTCAAAGCAAAGGGGAAGTTAGCTGAAAAAAATATTTTATGCTATAACAGCATTCGGCTTTCGTAATATAGCAGTAAACCGCGACCTGTAATAACAGTTTAATTGAGTGGTTGGTATTATTTGCAAAGTTTCGCTCTGTATGGTTATGATCGTCTCACACTACCCAGTCCATTAAGTCACTTTGAAGACAAGCATGGTTGCTAGAGACAAATGTTACACTGAGTCCGATGTTATAAGCACTGCTAACACTATTGGCGATTGACTGAACCTCGCTTAAGGCAAGACAAATATTTCATCTACCGTTTTAGTCTCGGTATATTGTGGGCATGAAAATAAGTTATTCAGTTACACCATGGACTGGGGCATAGATGTACTAACAGAATATGCACACCATGATATAACTGGAGCAAAATTGTGTGTTGTCAACACAAAGTGACATGTTGTTTCTCATGATGACAGATATTTTTGGAAAGCACAGATTAATCTCAAGTAGCCTTTCCGGGACCTATTGTAATCTGCTCATTTGTGCAACACTAGTGGTGAAGGTACAACTTAAATTCTGTTCCATTCCCAGACTCAGGTGTGTTTTACTTAGGAGATAAACATCATGTGTTGGCGAATTTCCGGGTGTTATTGAGTATTTGATGCACGGGCGTCAGCCGGAGGTTTCAAATGAAATATTCCCGTGCTTCAAATACTCAATAACACCCGGAAATTCGCCAACACATGATGTTTATCGACATTGTAAACACAAAAGTAAACCAAAAGGTCCACACGCGTTTTTTGTGTCTGCTCTCATTGATATCGAGTACGGGTACAGCAGTGAAATGTCATCAGCCGGCCGTTTCGGCTGTTTCCCATGGTAGCATCTGGAACTGCTCATTTGTGACGTCATTCGGACTTTACGTCACAACAGCTGACGACGTAACAATACAATGGTGTGAGCGATGTTTGTATGTATTACTACGCAGAGAATTTCCGGGAATCAAATACCATTTGATCACGTTTTTCAACCAATCAGATTAAAGAACACAGTGACTTTTGGTTTACAATGTAGATGGAGGTTAATATTAGTGCTGGTATTGGCATACAACCTGCGATACGATACATCACGATACTAAAGTTTTAGTCACGACGATATATTGCCAAAGTATCGTGCACTGAAGGTGCGATACGATACGAATCCCGATATGAGGGTGGCGATACGATACGTATCACGATACTAAAATCTTTAATTCTAACACCAACTATAAACACCTTAGGATCAACACAAAACCATTTAAAGTATTTCGTCAAATTCCACCAGCGTTTTTCAATGTTCATTCGGAAACGAGGTAATTAAGTTTATACACGGACGTTGTGAATGTAAATAACATGCGAGCGCTATGTCTGACACAGTTCTTGACGCAAGAAGTTCCGAGAAAACGTTTACTTATGAAGGGAAATAAGTAAGAAAATATTTTAATCAGCAAACAAAAGTAAGTCTTTTATTCTTGACAGATATCGCGATTCGGCAATATTCAAAGTTAAACATCGATGTATCGTGGCTCATTTGAAGTATCGTATCGGGATATAGGACAATGTAAAACCTTGTATCGATTCACTGTATCGGCGGCCCATGGATCGATGTATCGATGCGTATCGATGAATCGTCACACCACTAGTTAATATATCACCTGTGATTACTCTACAGGTGTGCTACATCGAAGAAAGGATCACTGACACATTTGAGCTTCTCTACAATGGCGGATGTGAAAGACAGAAGGTCAGTTTAATTGTTACTCTGACGTCTATCTTGTGTTGGATGGACGGCGTGGAACAGAATGGAATCATTTGTACTGTTGAGTCAGAACTTCATTTGCATCTATTAAACATGTATCATGAGCTTCAAATGGTTTAAGAACTATCAGATTATCAGCTGCGCACAGCGGAGATAATTCTTGTAACTGAAAGCATGAGCCCTGTCAAAGTCATTAGGCACTAGGTGAGGTGAGGTGAAATTGGGTTTTAACGTCGTGCTTGAGAATATTTGGCTCATATGACGACGTGCATGCGTGTGTATGTGTATGTGCGGCTGCTTGTACTAGCCCAGACTTAAGCTGGTTTTATAGTGCTAGCCCACTGAGATACCATGCTGCAGTGAAGCATGAATACCCAACTCAGACACATTATACTGACTCCGAGCTGACCGTTCCTTGTTGTACCCATTAATGCCGAGCGCCAGGCAGGGACCAACAAGTACCATATTTTAACGTCTTTTGGTATGAAGCGGTCGGGGATCGAACCCGCGACCTTCCGCTCTCCGGGCGGACGCTCTAACCACTACACCACGGAGGCGGTCCATTAGGCACTAGGAGACCAATCAGTCCAGAATGCAGAGAATAGATCGCTGAGTACAAGTAAGTCAGAATGTGCTTCTCCTTCAGCAATGTGAGGCCTTCAAGAACAAACAACACACCGACACCTCCCTGTTTGACCCTTGCTTCAACTGCTGCAACTCCAGCTTCTGCAACGTCATTTGCCCTTCAGGTAAACATAAAGACATTTCCTTCCATAGGATACTGTCAATTTGAATCTATAGTAACTAGAAAGGGAGAATGGGAGAGTTTTTGATTTATGCCAATTTCAGAAATAGTCTAGGCATAAGCAGAGGGTACAAATATTGTGCTACCAATGTGAACGGAGACCATCGTGATGAAACAATGCTATGGTAACACCATCATCGTAGAACAGTTGTGAAAAATCCAGATATTCACAAATCAATGCGAAATAGACGTGTGTGTGTAGGCATCTATAACTATATACAAATCAAATATTTCATAATGATATTAATACTTTGCCACGTTGACCTGACTATTAGATCTTCTCGCAACCTTACCTCCAACGACTCTTCCAACCATTACTTCAACAACTACTATGGCTATCACATCTACTACTACGCCCACAACTGCACCTACGATGCCAACAAGTCCATCCACCACCCCTGTTTTCACAAGCACACAGACATCGACGATCCCGTCAACAGTGTGTCCTACATTCCCTCCTCTAACCAATGTGAAGCCGCCTCAAGTTCTGCACAACGCCCTCATCAATGTTGGTAAGTAATCACACCCTACTGGCAAATAAGGTCTGTCTGTGAATCAGCTGAAACTTATTCTCCGACTTAGATATCGTTTATACTGACACAGGCACAAAGATCATTAAACAAACAGTGTTAAACAAAACACTCCAAATATCATGATCTATGGAGAATGTGGCAGGTTTCCTTTACATATACACTCTTATTGTAAAGTAATTCGGTATTGGATAAAGTTAATACACATGCCAACCTATCGCTTACCAAAGAAATGTTATAATATGATGCTTTTATATGATCGAAATGGACATAAAAACTGGGTGACTGAGATAAAACAATTATTATTTTCTACTGGATTTGGAGATATTTGGCATAACCAAGAAAATGGAATATATCCGGAATTCATCAAATCATTTACTCAAAGACTAAAAGATATGTATTTTCAAAACTGGCAAGAAAAAGTATTTATTTCAAGCAAATGTGACACTTACCAAATGTTTAAAAACAATATCCATACCGAGTAAGTTTAACACGATTCCGATGCTCATCTCATGAACTTCTAATCGAGAAAGGTAGATATGTAAATGTGGATAGAGAACATAGAACTTGTAAATTATGTAATACAAATGCAATTGAAGACGAGTATCATTTTCTTCTTGTATGTCCTAACTACAGTAGTCTTCGAAGCAAATATTTAAGAGAAATGTATTATGTCCATCCAAACAGGCTTAAGTTTTCACTACTGCTAAACAGTTCAAATCCTAAAGAAATTGAAAACCTGTCCATGTATATTTTCTACCCATTTGTACATAGAAAACATATTGTTCCTTGAACGTGTATAAAGCAATGTATATGGTGTACTTAGGCCCGAGGCATTTTCAGTACCGGAATGAAGATTGAGGCACAAAGAAACACACTGCCATTTTCCCATTAGAGAACTTAATCTTTTCTGACAGCACAAACTCAAGAACCCTTTAACAGGTCTAATTAAACATGCTCTCATGCCATTTTAAAGATCTGTATGGTTGCAGTTTTAACGGAATGCTTGAAAATAAATAAATAAAATAATATGAATATGTGATCTTTGTAAACTTGTTGTTGAAGAAAGGTTAACCCATTCAGTTTCATTCCAGGATGTGGTGGAAAGGATGACATTGTGTTCCTAGTGGACAGTTCCACACATGTCCTCGGCGCTCAAGAACGTGTCTTTCAGCTCTTCACAAAAGCATTTGCTGACTCTCTCCAAATTGGTCCTCAGAAGGCCCGAGTTGGTTATGTCTCTTACAACAGTGTGGTTCAGGAACTGCTCCATCTAGACAAGGGGTCTGATCCAGAAATAGTTGACAGGACCCTTTTAAATCAAGCCCACACAGGAACAATAACGCAAGACAAAGCTTTTTTGGGTGCTGCAATGAATCATGTGCTTGGAGATATGTATTCTGGAAAGTATAGTCGTAGTGGTGCCAAGAAACACCTTGTCATCCTGACCGGAAATGCTATAGACGACCTTAATCAGGCAGTAGCTGCTGCTGACAAGGCCAAACGCCGAGGAATTGAAGTCATTGTTGTTGCTGTAGGAGACATCAAGATCATTCAACAGCAGTTGCACAAAATTCCTACAAGTGCCTTCAAACAACATTTCCTGAATGTAAACGATTTCAAAGGTCTTCGTCCAGAAATCGAAAGTTTGATCTTGAGCCATTGCAGAGGTGAGGCTGGTTTGTCAATGATGTGTTTTAACAGATGATGTAAAGTTGTAAATAGTAAACAGTAAATTGGTATCCCTTCTTTACAGTCTAATAAACTCTTATTCAAGAGTAAGAACCTAAAAAGATTTGAAAATTGAAACCTGTCCTTCATAACAGGAAGTTATGTCGGATGAACTTTCTACACCAATTGGTTCGTAGAAGCACATGTTGAAAACAAACATGTTTGTGCTGAACGAAAGGAAAACCATTGTGAAATCCCATCCTTTAAGTCTTCCGTCAATCTGTTACACTAGAATCTCTTCATCATGGATTTCTCCCTCCTATACATAAGTAAAACAAGTCACAAGAAAGCTGACAGACTGACAGTGAAGTCAAATCCTTTCGAAGATATAGCATTTAACTTTTCATTTTCATTGCGCAGTTAAACTTTAAGTGTTAGCCATATGTGACCTTCTCTTGTCAGATATTGGTGGAGACGGGTATTGAATATATGATAGTGAGAGATAAGTAAATATATGATAGTGACTACTTGACTAAAGGTTTTGTTACTGGACACCGTAATGGCCTCTGCCCTGTCACATGCAAAATAGATAAACATATGCCATCTGATGGTGTCGTTTCCTTCAGAAGTGTATGATATATCGTTACTCTGAACACAAAGTATACACATCAGATACCCTCATGGTATATTGTTATAGATATGGCAGAGGTTTAAACATCACCCCCGTGATATCGTCTTACATAGTGAATAAGAACATTGATGTTTTCTAGGGAATAAGCCAGTGCCAACTATAGCCTCAGACCCCTGTGCTGGACCGAAACTCCTGAACTTTTTAGGTAAGTTGGACAGGGCCCTGAAACATATTCCTAAAAAAATGTCCATGAACAAAACTCTGAGGCAGAGTTATCTCACGAGCTATTTCCAACCTGATCTTAGTCTGTGGAGTAGTTTGCGGTGTTGATAGAATCTGGAATGAGACTTCTTTTTCGTTTTATGCAAAGTGGTGTGTAAGCATATAATAAAATAGTAAATGGACGAAGTTCGTTTCCAGGTTGTGGGGCTCGTGAGGACATCACATTTATCTTGGACAGATCCGGTAGTATCCACGCTAACGATTGGATTAAGATGAATGAGTTCATTCAGAAGCTCGTTGGAAAGTTTGACGTGTCCCCTAATGCATCAAGAATTGGCATGATGACATTCAACAATCAGCTGAATGAACTGATTCATTTCAAGGATTTCTCTGACAAGAAGAGCCTGTTGAATGAAATCAACTTCAAACTTTCCAAGTTGTATACGACCGGTTCCACCATGACACACCTGGCTCTAGAAAAGGCTCTTCAGTGGTATAAACATAGCAGCAGGTCGGACGCCATCAAGGTTAGAACGTTTGAGATGCCTATCACTTTCGTCGGGTTCATTTGTTTGGCTTTAAAGCTTGCCTTAAGATTAAGCTTGTTTAAGTATAATATTCTTGGGGCGGTGGGGTAGCCCAGTGGTTAAAACGTTGGCTCGTCATGCTGAAGCCCCGGGTTCGATTTCCTACATGGGTACAATGTGTGAGGTCCATTTCTGGTGTTCTTAACCGTGATATTGCTGAAATATTGCTAAAAGCACCGTAAAACCATACTTACTCACTCTTAATATTCTTATATTGATATATATACTTTGGAACCGGGGGCTCAGTTGCTTATTGAATCGCAATTCTCTGTGCAGAGTTACGTCCCTTGCGGCCGCCAGGAACCTCTAATTTTAGGTTGAACTATTGATACTATCACTACAAGTGACAACGGATCTTTGCTTGTCGTTGTATACACATCATGTATGTCTGTTTATGCAGTGAAACAGAATCTGGACATTAAAACTGAACGTTTTATCACGTTCAAAACATGTATGACAGTTGTCAAAGCAGGTATGACAGTTGTTCCGAATCTTGGAATATTACCTTAGATCCGTAGATTTTGTCAACAAATTGATGCAACTCTGCACAGTGAGATACCAACTTAAAGACCAGTATCTATGAACTATATATGGGATATCGGCTTTGTCTAGATGTATCTAACCACCATATGTAATGGTTTGTAACTTTCGTTGTACTGCCCTCTGACTGATTCTGTTGTACATTTACCCGTGAAGGTCCGGGTTAGAACTCACTCACTCACTGTTGTACATTACCAAGGTCGTTGTCATCTTCACTGACGGTGGATCCGATTCCAAGTTCGAGACTTTGGCCTCAGCCTTGGAACTGCAGAGGAACAATGTGACTGTTTTCGTCGTTGGAATTGGACATGAAGTCGACCTGCAGGAACAAATGATCCTGGCGTCGGACCCGGATAGTCAACACATGTTGAACGTGCAGAACTTTGACGGTCTTCTGCTCTATATGGAATATTTGGCAGCTATACGATGTCGTGGTAAGAAATGAAGGTTCAATGGTTACATTGTTTTCTTAATATGATATCTCTGATGGTCTTTGTTTCTCGGGAATACTGGTTTCAGGGGCAATTGGATAACCAAGTGGTTGAAGAGTTACGCCAAACCAACAGGGGTACATGGTAAGGCAAAAAAGAAATACCGACCTACCCTATCCTCTTTTCTCTTCCCCACCCACCCACCCTAACTCTTCTTCAACCAAGTCAACGTCATGACTGAGTGCATTTCAACTCATCATTTTTATCCAAATAGAGTATGGTATTTTCATCACAAGGCATTGTAACAACGTGATATGGTATCCTTGAAGACATTCTCATGTGCCCACCTGGCGCTAATAAAAATAATAACAAACATTATTAAAAATCACCTACCCTATTTTTAAAAAGCATGTAAAAGGAAACGGACATATGTTTTTTTTCCTAAACCTATATTCAGTCACTACCACGCTCACATGTTATTTTATCTAGTTTCATTTATTTTTCTTGACGGCTACGATACTGTTGTGATATTGCGAACTTCAGCATAAACTTAATTATATTGCCTCATAGAAGTTTGTTCTAAAATATATCCTACTGTTCCAGATCTTGCCAACAGGTCTACGACAACGATAACACCATCTTCTTCAACTCACCGTCAAACCGCAGGGTGATTCTGTGCATAGTAGTTACTGTATATATAAGGATTCAAATAAACAGGGTAACGAAAGCTGGTTCCATTTCTTATTTGCATATACTGGCCGGCACTTCTTTTTAGTCTGAAAGTGAAAAAAATCAGAACGTGGAACAAACGTTTCAAATTTGTCACCAGTCAACTGAAAGTCACACGACATGCAAAAGGTCTTGAGTGAGTGAGTGAGTGAGTGAGTGAGTGAGTGCGTTTAGTTTTACACCACACTCAGCAATATTCCAGCTATATGGCGGCGGTCTGTAAATAATCGAGTCTGGACCAGACAATCATGTGATCAACAACATGAGCATCGATCTGCGCAATTGGGAACCGATGACATGTGTCAACCAAGTCAGCGAGCCTGACCACCCGATCCCGTCAGTCGCCTACGACAAGCATGGGTTACTAAAGGCCAATATTTTAACCCGGACCTTCACGGGTGCAAAGGTCATGACAAATCGTGCAAATTATTATAAGCTTCTCTCACACACAAAACATCTCTTGTGGATGCCGGTTTGGAAGCTGTTACCATAACAGAAAGAGGGTCATGATTTTCAATCAGTGATTCAGATTAAATTATTTACAGGCCGCTTTCTTATCATGACAAATTTAGGGATAATAGCATCTTTAATTTTGAAGGTTCGACGTTTCGTTACAGACTCCTGTACCGTTCGCTTGGCCTACAAATATAAGGAATTCTTAGCCATTAGTATTTTCATTATTGTACTTCCCAACTCCTAAAATGCCACTCCGAGAAGTTATCCGCCGTCATTTATATGGATTATTGCCTGGGTAGCGACAAAGCAGAAACAGTACCTATCTCACATAGTATACAACGTGTTTAAGCACAGTCATGTTATACTAAAATGTACCGTTATCTTGTAGGTTATTTAAGAAATGTATCCCAGATACTTTTCTGCACATATTGTGCCTGGTCACTGGGGAGCATTATGCAATCTGTGTTAGGCATGCACAGCTTGAATTCTAATCCACGATCATGGGCTCCGTGGCCGTCCGCACAGTAAAGCCCGGTGCTTCAGGACTTTTGAGAGAACACCAGAACACGGTCCGAATGCTAAAGTATAATGAACAATATTCAAAATATGGCAAAACAGAAGTACTGACGTGCCTGTCCATTTTGCAAACACCCGATGTCATCTCTTTTCAGTGTTCCATTCATATATTTTTCTCCATGATTTTGCCTTTTTCTGTTTTGGCCGATAATCGGGACTGATTATTACCGAGGTTTGATAGTTTATATTCTTTGATATAGTTTGTGAATAAATTCAACGATTTTATGTTTGGCTATAAAACATTATTGGTTCATGGCAATAGTTCTCGTCCCTTTTGAAAAACACTGTGAAACGTGTTGACCTGGCGTACTTGGGTCACTTTAAATACTTTATTTTTGTCCTAGGCAGCATTTAAATTTATATTCTTATCAACGCCCCATTTCCAGTCGATCCTAGTCCCAGTGTAGGTTATCATACCATTCGGCTGAAGGTGGACTCTTCACCACTGCAAGGTTACCAACCCCAGGACTGTGGACTGTTATACCAGCCTGGAAAATGTTGGTCAAATTAGTTTTGTGTAAGTATACTTTAACAGGCTATCATTTAAAAATAGTCCAGAAAGCTCTAATAATTTTACGGATGTTGTAATGTAACCATATGTTCCATTTAATAATAATCAAAGTCATAACAGCAACATGTTCTTTTGAAAAGTAGGGCATATGCAATTTTGGGTTGATATTGTTTGGGAACCAAGTTGACTGTATATGGATTTAGAAAATTATATTCCTTCACAACTTGTTATGAATTTCGAGCAACCCTGCCAATTTCGAGTAAGATTTTTTCATGATGTGCACATGACATGAAATATTTTAAAATTACAGTGTAACGTGCCGGTGTGTTGCTGTAGATTCCAGTGATTTAAACAGGCTGAAAGTTCGTATATAGTTTAAAATACGGGGTCTGTCATGCCAATAACAGTTACTTGCAAATGTTGGAAGTTGGAAGTTGGAGATGTGGCACAAGCTCTGAACATTTTACAGCCAGTGAATAACTAATTAGTATATTCCAATCACGATATCGACATACAAATAACGTTGATAACAAACCTGGGTCTGGTCTACCAAGGGGGACAACTGACGCGCAAGGCCGTTTCATCAGAAGGAATATGTTTCGAAACCGTGACCATACAGTGCGTGTCATGTTGGAGATGAGCTTCACAAAGCTACAGGTGTTAGACTGAGTAGACAGAAGATTCGTAATCGGCAACACAAATGGAAACTGCATGCCAGACGTCCACGTGTTATCCAACGACCAACCAATCGTCTTTAGGCAAACGATATGCTTTTAGATGAATCAGTTTACTTTGGACTTCATCGACAGGCACAACCGCGTGTCGTTTACGAATTTAGTTTTGCCCTGTGGGGAGAATAGGGTAGAATAAACCATGTTTAATTGGGCTGGTTGTTGTTTAACGCCGTATTCAGCAATATTCCAGCTATATGGCGGCGGTCTGTAAATAACCGTGTCTGGACCAGACAATCCAGTGACCATCAGCATGAGCATCGATCTACGAAATTAGTAACCGATGACGTCTGTCAACCAGGTCAGCGAGCCTGACCACCCGATCCCGTTAGTCGCCTCTTGCGACAATCATGGGATACTGAAGATCAATTCTAATCTGGATTTTCACGGGTCTGTTTAATTTGGAGTATGCTTCGTCGAATTCAGGATTGTCCTGAGAATAGATCCGGATTTGCGGGTTATTAAAGAGTTTGACATGGTGACGTGATGGACACAAGGGCGCTGTGGCCAATCACTGAACAAAGTCTATCTGACATTCAATCGTCCTCGCCGTGATATTGCTGGAATATTGCTAAAAGCGGCGTAAAACCATACTCACTCACTCACTCACTGACATTCAACGACTAATGCTGATCTTAGATGCCCGTCACACTATTAAACTATTTATCTCATTAAAGAGGTAAAATATCAATAGTTGTGACACCTATTTATTGTATATCCTCTACTTTGGTTTAGTAGTATACATTTAAACAAATCATTCATACGAAGAAAAGTAAAGGTACATAGATTAAAACTGTTTATGAAATAACTGTTTTCTTCTCTCAAGAGGTAAGATGCTTTCTTGCTTCCAAAACGTTCAAGTCAGTTTTTTAAAAGTGTAACATTTATGAATGTAATGTTGTTTGGCGCCGTTTATTAAGAGATTACCAATTATTTTAACTTGGTTTCATTGATCTGTTTTTTTCTCTCATCATTAGTTTATCTCTTCAACTGTGTCTGTCAGAGACTCGGCGAAGCCGCAAACACAACGGGTACGTCAAGATATGCTTTATAATATGTTGAACTTAGGTTAGCATCAGGTACATTTTAGGTCAATATATGTATCATATCAGTTGAACTAGGGTAGCATCAGGTAGGTCAATATATGCTTCATAATCAGCTGAACTAGAGTTAGCATCATTTGGGTCAATATATGCGTCACATCAGTTGAACTGGTGTTAGCATCAAGTGGGTCAATATTTGCTTCATAATCAGTTGAACTAGGGTAGCATCGGGTGGGTCAATATATGCTTCATAATCAGTTGAACTAGGGTTAGCATCAGGTGGGTCAATATATGCTTCATAATCAGTTGAACTAGGGTTAGCATCAGGTGGGTCGATACATGCTTCAAAAGCAGTTGAGTCAGGGTTAGCCTCAGGTTGGTCAATATGTGCTTTATAATCTGTTGAACTAGGGTTATCATCGGGTGGGTCAATATATGCTTTTTAATCAGTTGAACTAGGGTTAGAATCGGTTGGGTCAATATATGCTTTATAATCAGCTGAACTAGGGTTAGCATCGGTTGGGTCAATATATGCTTTATAATCAGCTGAACTAGGGTTAGAATCGGTTGGGTCAATATATGCTTTATGATCAGTTGAACTAGGGTTAGCATCGGTTGGGTCAATATATGCTTTATAATCAGCTGAACTAGGGTTAGCATCGGTTGGGTCAATATATGCTTTATAATCAGCTGAACTAGGGTTAGCATCGGTTGGGTCAATATATGCTTTATAATCAGTTGAACTAGGGTTAGCATCGGTTAGGTCAATATATGCTTTATAATCAGTTGAACAGGGTTAGAATCTAGGGTTAAATCGGTTGTTAGAATCGGGTCAATATATGCTTTATAATCAGTTGAACTAGGGTTAGCATCGGGTGGGTCAATATATGCTTTATAATCAGTTGAACTAGGGTTAGCATCGGGTGGGTCAATATATGCTTTATAATCAGTTGAACTAGGGTTAGCATCGGGTGGGTCAATATATGCTTTATAATCAGTTGAACTAGGGTTAGCATCGGTTGGGTCAATATATGCTTTATAATCAGTTGAACTAGGGTTAGCATCGGGTAGGTCAATATATGCTTTTAATCAGTTGAACTAGGGTTAGCATGTCGGGTAAGTCAATATATTCCTCATAATTGATTGTACTAGGGTTTAAATTGGACCATTCAGAATGTAGGTCAATAAATGCTTCATAATCAGGTAAAACAACTGATTGGTCAATAATGTTTCATTATCAACTGAACTGGGATTAACAGTTGGTATATATATGCTTCATAATCACAGGGCCGGTGGGGTAGTCTAGTGGTTAAAGCGTTCGCTCTTCACGCCGAAGCCCAGGTTAGATTCTCCACAAAGTATAAAGCCCATGTCTGGTGTCCCCCGTCGTTGTATTGCTGGACTATTGCTAAAAGCGCCGTAAAACTGAACTCACTCACTTATAATCACATGTACGAGGATTGATAACAAGCACAGTAGAACCGGCATTATACCTGACTGACACAATCAGTCACATATAGGGCGCCTACATGCGCCACCTACTATACTGGGATCCCTTCTATATACTCCCACAGCGTCCCCAGGACAGGTTCACTGCCTCGAGTGCGAGAGGGTGGCGAAACCAGATGATTGCGTCACAGCCGTGTCATGTCCCCCTGGCGAGGTAATAATGA